TTGTCACCTAGCACCGCTACTTCTCTACCTCAACCCCTCCTCATAAATTTGGTAGGATTATTGTCGTTTGTGTTTTCACTCAGCCCGCCAGGATTTACACGATATATGTGCCGCATATCGGCGAAGCCCTCTGGGCGTTTCTGAAAATTACGGATGGAATTTGTGAAAAATGTATTGCAGTTAAATTTTAGACTTGGGGACAAAAATGTTTAGGCCATTCAACCCTCTGCATCCGTATTGTGTGCTTCGGGGGACGGAACAATAGTTATGTGCAGCATCTAACAACAGTCATCTACAAAAAGATAATACATCTCATCGAAATGTTTTATGTAATTTAACCAATGTATGTACCCGTAGATGTTTGAATAAAAAAACGAAGGTAAAAACCATTGAACTGAAATTTTAAGGTTAAATTAAATAATAAATTTCAATTTAGACTGATGTAATTGATATTAGAGCATTAGTATTAATATTTGTACACTATTCATCAACTTTTCTCCAACTTTGGACCAACCGAGTGAGTCGTTCGAACTAAATATTGTCTATGAAATCGTTAGACAGTACATAACGTACTTTTATCAAACTGATATTTGACCATTCGTTCACTCTCAATTTTCGTCCAATTTTGGATTAAATCGGACGAGCCATTTTCGAAATACAGATGCAATGTCGTTTGTGCTGTCGATGTAATTCGGCGAATCTGCTGAAGGACCTCAAGATACTGGCCCGCAAAATCCATTATAAAATTATGATAAGTTATACCATATATGACTCGTTCATTTCCAAGGTGAACCATAATCATTATTAACAATTTCTTTTCCGAAACCGCGAAAAACTATTCTCTTATTGTAACGTCAAAACCAACCAATTTTTAAAAATATAAATTAAGAAATTCTTTATTTGTAGAAAACATATTTACGAAAATCCGTGATTATTGCTCTAGTAATTAAAAAACATTGAAACTTGAATAGGTTCCCTTTTGGAAATAAATAAACTTCAAGGCCCGATTTTTTTTTTAAAAAAAGGTTGATTCGGTTTGGTTTTGGAGAAAAAACAACGGTGTATCATTCGAACAGGGAAGAGGGTTTTATGAAAATTGTACTATACAAAAATATTTTTTTTTTTACACTTATGACCCTAAAATTTATTATTAATTTTTATTTTCATTTGAATAAAACGGTTAGAAAAACATTGGATAATTTTAATTTTGTTTTAAAGAACATTTAAGAATTTCAAGTTTCATTCCTTGGGGAAAAAAATAATGCCAGTTTCGGAAATAAACTTTTTTTTCTCACCTTTATATTATTTATTTTATACATTAAAAAATATAGAAATAATTGCACCATCTGATTTATTGGATGGTATCTGTATTGGGGATATATGGGGATCGATACTTCAATTTCCAAAAAAAATCTATTAGGTTTTACTTTAAAATAAACGACTCAATATAGATCATACTAATCACATGGATTCGACTATATGGTAGAAAAACTCTTTTTTCTTTTGATGTCTTAAATTTAAAACGCGAGATTCTTTCCTACTTTCTAGCTGCTTTCTTCGATTCTGAGAACAATTATTATATTTTTGTTTTTCATTTCTTACATTATTTACAAAGCGCTCCTCCCCCTTCGATAGTTGAACAGTTAAAAACAAAACAAGTTTATAATAATTAGTTAATTAAACTATTTAAGAAGAATACATTGCTTGGAATTTTTTTGAATTCGAGAGTTCTTTCTGTGTTCCATTGGGAACTTAACTTGCGCACTGTTACTGATATATATCTTTTTTTAATAGACATTACCGTTATAAATAATTAAGATATAAGCAATTTAGGTAAATAATTAATATTTTATAAATGTACAGATTTTGTTCTTTTTGATATTATTTTAGTACTTATATCAAATATGAGATTTGATTTCATTAATTGGCTTTAGCGGTATTTTATTTTTTTCCTACTTTCTCTACCTTTGCCTATCTTGAATTATTATTTTACAAATTGCTGAGCATCAAAATTTTCTTTCTTTGAACTTTCAGTCAACGAGATTTTGTGTCTTCAAGTTGTCATATTATTAGCTATTGTGACTTACGTTGCTTAAAAAAAAACACTGGCAGACTAATTCGAGCTACATTCATACATTATATATTATTATTTATAAAAGTTAATAAAATATCTTATAATTATATTTTGATCTAATGTAGACTTCTAATAATTCATCGAGATATTCCTGAATGAAACATGTATTATTACAAATATTTTGGGTCTGATTAATCGTTATGTATAACAAATGCGGCAGCTCCCAAAATAACTCTTTGTTGTGGAATTCATTGTGTTGGTATTTGGGGATAATAAAAAAAATTATGTTGCTGATGTTTGATGATTTGAAGTTGAGTTCCTCTCCTGACCCATCAAGGACTTGATGAATTCTTCCGCTACAATAGCTAAGAAATCGGTTTCGGTCGATCACTGCTGACAAGCAAGGATTTCAACACGCAAACGTGACTTATTCCCTCCTTTTAGAACTTTATTGTGTAGAGTGTTATTTATTTTTAAGATAATTTATTTATAAAACGCAGATCCGAAAATATTTCTTATACATATTAGTGTAGTCGTAAATTTTGTTCTGCATAACATTATGGCATTACTTCCTACTACCACTTATAAGTGTGAGATTTCTTATGCTTGTTCTTTATTCTTGCAAGAAGCAAAATTATAATGGAATACTAGGTGTAATATAATTATATTGAAACAGGATTCATCCATAGATGACTAAAGTTATTAAAATAGTTTCCGTCAAACCGTATTAATAGCGCCATTTTACTTCTTTGACAGATGGCAAAGATTTCCTGCAAGTTTAAAATTTTCAAAGTTTCATGTAACACCATCGTTTTATTAGTGTTAAACATGTCGAGTTTTGTTTCTACAAACTCCGATTTGCGGATACTGTTACATTTCTGTTACCATTTAAATAAACTGCTACAGAATCGTATTTAATGCTTGCCGATGCAGAGGGTGAGCATCTTGGTAAATTACAATGCTTTGGCTAGTTTAAAAAGTTAAAAGTGGTAATTTTGACGCAAAATATGAAGAATGTGAATGCGATCTATGTTGAGCTGTTAAGACGTGATGAATACATATATAGTGAACGCTATCGACAACAAATGAACGATTTGTATCGAATAAAGCTTGAAAACTACCATGAAATTAAAAAAGGCAACACAAATTTATTTTACTTCATGATAATACACCATCAGACACAGAACAACTATTGAAGGAAATGTTTGAAACTTTCAGTTGGGATTTATTATTTACTTATTTATTAGTGTATACGGTTTATTCACCAGTCTAGGCTTCATCGGATTATATTTATTTACATCGATGGGACATGCACTTAGTCAGCAGCTCTTCTTATGAAAATGGGTTGATGACTGCTTTGCCTAAAAATACTAACAGTTTTTCTGGTATACCATTCATAAATTGCTTCATTCATTTATTTCGAATAAAAGCATTTTTATCATTTTTATTAAGAAAAATTAAAATATTTCATAAAAATGTTAATTATCAATTTAATTTTCAATCATAAAATCGTCAGAACCTTCCTCAGCTGTACCTACGACTCACAAGATATTTAAAAATAATTTTTAAATTCCCTTCAGTGCTGATAAACTAAATTTTCTTCTCTGGCTGGCTGAAAGGACTGAGAGTAAGGAGCGTAATTGTACCTGATACTAAGCAGACTACCTCAATCATTAATAGTCACTCTCTCGAATAATTAAGTTAAAACCTAAATGGTTTAATTAGTGTATTATTCATTTACTGAATTAGAATGCTTCATTTATTGGTCATACATGATATTCCTATGAATCTTCTTACTTTCTTTTCCAGGTTCGAGAGTGGACAAACACTGGTTCGTGGTGAGGGACACCTCGGTGAAGACGGAGCGGCTGCTCACCCTCACACCCCGAAGCCAAGCTTGCCCCATCCGGACAGACTCCTCGAACAGGGGTATCGTCCTGGACCTGCTGACGAACCTTCAGCACCCCTACATCTACCCGGTCCTCGATCTTGAGTTCAGGGAAACGGCGGGGGAAGTCTACATTCTCCTCGTCATACCTTACAATTCCAAAGGCAGTCTAAAAGATCTTATTTATAAGGTACATACTTCTATTATTGTTATCATGTTTTAATTCATAAATCTAAGAACTTTAGTTTAATGGATATAACCAACATTTCCTGAACGAATTTTTATTGTAGTTAGCGTATTTTTTTTCAATTAAATGCTTGTCTTAGTTAGGCTATTGAAAAATTTAGGTCTTCGCTAAGCAGTATTCATATTCATAATTGAGTAATTGGTCTGGTCAAAGCATCACGTGACACAATTATATTTGCGCTAAATTAAGTTATTGAGTCTCAGATGCTCCCTTGGTTATCTCCATCCATACGTATCGAATCTGAAATGTTTCTGCAAGTGCAAGACTTTTCGTTTCTTAAGTTTTATTTTTCATTATTCGATTCGTCTCAGATTTTGCAAGTATATATCATCGTGTCGAAAAAACTTTTTATTTGAATGAAACACCATTTTTGAACCCTTTGCAAATAGTGTTTTATTTGGGTATTTGCGTGACAATAAAAAACTATGTAAATTTAAGCTGCAAAATAGTTCAAATGATAAAGAACATTTATAACATTGAAATTGAATTTTTAAACGATAAAAAGAGGTTCATATTTAGCTAAAAACTTTAAATAACTGTGCGTCTTGGAGGTATGGTGGAGACTTGTGGCGTGGCTTGAAGTATACCACTGCCAAACTAAATGCTTTTATTCATAGACGACTGGGTGAAAAGCTATTTCTCGGATGAAGGTTTTGGCCTTGGGAACACTAATCTAACAGTATAAAATACTCAACGGCATAAGCTAGAGACTCTTAGAACTTGCCATAGACTAGATTAAACTACATAATTATGTCTTTTACACACAGTGTTACATAAGAGATGTGGTAATTAAATAACGAGCCTGATGTAAAACATTTTATTTTGACTTCATGCAAATTTACTTATTATCACTTTCAATATGCACCTCTCCTCTCTCCTTACACCGCTCCATGCAAATCTTCCAATGTCTGAAACAGTGCTAGAAGTTTTCTTTCTCCTCCTTCAGAACACGTTCGGCTTTTTCTTTGTGAGAACGTGAATGTAATACTGATGAATAATAGTTTGTCCTTCAGAAACCTAGTAAAGGTTTCTTTACTATTGATGATAGGTTTCTTCTATTGATGATTTTTAAAAAATCATCAATGCTTTGAACTTTGTTTAGCTCATTTAAGCTTTTTTGATCAGAGTGAATTTCGGCTCTTCCACTGCATGGGTTGGTGCTTCATTTCAGGACCATAAGTAAAAGATCCATTATTCGACAATCTGCATTAAAAGGGACAAGATTTGATTCAACTGAAGCTGTTTAAGAGAAAACAGCAGACGTTCTGAAGGAGCTGACATAAGAACACTTCCAGCACTGTTTCAGACAATGAAAGATTCGCGCGTTAAGGATAGATATGATAGAGCGTTTTAAGGATAGAGGAGGGTTGTATACTGTAGGTGATAGTGAATAAATATGTATGAGATAAATAAAAATAAAATATTTTACAGCATCAGTCTCCTTATTTGATAGTCACAACTCGTATTACTGGTACTTTTCTTTAAATGTTTCTGTTAATAATCTTTGACAAAGCTTATTAAACAAATACTATATATATATATATATATATATATATATATATATATATATATATATATGTGTGTTTGTGTGGGTTGGTGTGTGTGTGTGTGTGTGTGTGTATATATATATATAAACGTTCTTTCCCTTGTTCCTTTGATTTTTTTTATTATTATTTTAACTAAAAGACAACTCAAAATGTGAAAACTGTACCGAAAACCAACATCCTTTCATTTGCCTTTAGTCTCTTTACCTTTTACCTTCACCATATTTACCTCTTCTAGTCGGTGTGGTCGGAGGACTGGGGAGACAAGTACGGCCAACGGTCTGAGGGGCTGCCAGGAACTCAGGTCCAGAGGCTCGGGAGGCAGATCCTGGAGGCTCTCTTCTTCCTCAAGGAGCGGGGCTTCCCTTCGTCCTCACACCTCCACTCGGGCAACATCATCATACAGAATGGTGTAGCGAGGTAACCAGGCAAACTGCCATTATTACTTCATTTTAATAGTCTGCCATGCTTAATCTATAGTTCACTTTATTATCAGGCGATAGTATGATTTGTAGCTTGATCATCCAACAGCGCATTCTTAATTTAACGATTGACTTTAATGAGTATGAGAAATTATTCTAAATTTTTAAAAAATGCGGTTTATCGATGTTCTCAACTAATACCATTGTAACTGGCTTCATACCGTAATTTATTTTTTTAAGATTGAGTTTCTTGAACAAACTCTTGATCCAGACATTGTACAGTCTCCGCTAAAGCCTCGATGGCTTTTAATTTCATAATTGACGTATATTTAGCTACTACAGTAGCACTTTTCAAGGTCACTCAATGTTCTTATAAAAATTTTAAAGTATAAGACTTTTATGACAGAATTTATTGTATTTTTTTTTTCAACTAGAGCGGTAACTTTTTATCTAATAGAACTGTGGCTCAAAATTCTAAAAATCTTCTTTACGTAAGTTCAATATAGATTTCCAAAAAATTAAAATTTAAAAAAAATTATTTCATAATCTGAGGCCATCATACAATCTTCAGCAAACTGAATCTGTACATTTATTTGTAATGGTTTTGCGTTAAAATAAAATGAAAATAATTATATATTTCAATTTCATTTTCATGTCATTTAATGTCGTTATTAAATTCGTTAATTTACATTGACTCGTACTTACTTAAAAACGTTCTAGTGAAAAAAAATGCTATTATAAATCAATTAAAAATTTTCTTTATCTCTTTATCTGAAGCTTTGTAGGAAAGATTTATTGTTCCTAAGTTTGAACCTCAAGAGTATAAATTGGTGAAGTTGTGTAGAAGCATTCCTTGGAGTGAAAGGAATTACTAATTTAGTCATTGAGCCAGTAACTATCTAATTACTTGGACGACACTTTCTGCTCTTAACTTTTCATGATCGATAACCTTAAGTACCATAACTATCGAGTTTATTTAAGTCCCGGGACTTAAGTAAGCTTAGGGACGAAATTAGAAATTTTGAGTAATAGAGGACGTCAAATAGAGCATTATATTATCTTTTCTTTTTTTTTTTTTTGTTTATATATATAATAAGAGTTGTCTATGTTGATGTGCAAAAAAGAAAAAAAAATATATTCAGAATTAAGAAATATTTAAATACGAATTCATTATTACTAGAATCTATTCCAATCATTATTTTTATATTATATTATATATTAACTGGTCTGTGTCAATAATTCGCATAGCATATTTGTCAATGTATTTCGGAGGCAGTAATTAATTTTCATTCAAAATAATAGACAAAAACATGTGTGCAAATTACTACTAGCTGTATCTTTGCTAAAAGTGGTCTGATTTCGATAATTTTTACTTTCTCTTACCTATATATGAAATATATAGTAAGAGAAAGTATTGCGATCGTAAAAATTTTCGAATTCGAGTTTTCAACGGAATTAAAAGTTTTAAGGTCCCCTGAGTCCAAATAACCAAGTCTCGTAAAATGGTTTGTATGTATCTGGACAGCTTCGCTCAAAAACGTAATTGCTTTGTAAGCTAACTAGTGCCTTTGTAGTTTTTTTATAGCTCAACGTTGCCAGAAAATAATTTCTATTCAAAATTGAGCGATAAGTTAAAGTTGTGTGACGCGCTCACCAGATTTTTTTAACGTTTTATTGGGAATTTCGAAACCTTTCTAGTTATCAATGGTATCATTACTTTACATCATACAAAATCATCATAAATTGTATACTTTCTAATTAATGCACAAACAAATTTTTATTTAAACGAACACTATACATTTCCTGCAATACTGCGTGGGTCATTTTCAATCTAGAAATCAGCAAACTTTTTCTGTTTAATAAAGTACTTAAAAACTCATAAACATCCATTTACTTTTTGCTTGAATCATAAGATAGTTCCTATAAAACAAAAAAAAAAAAAAATGGTGGCCTATAAAAATATTGGCGTGATTTCCGTCCCCAACATGTCAAAATAACAAACTTCTATAGGTCAAATGGCCAATATGTTTGTTGGCCACTATTCTTCTCGATTTTGAACTCAAATTATTTTACGATTCTAGTGTATAGCAAATGATTATTCACGAATTTTTAGTGCCTCATAAAATTAATTATTTTAATTAGAAAACGACCTATTTTTGAGAATTGACATAGAAAAAAAGGTTGTAGGTTACTGTAAAATGAAGGCATTCACGATATTTTAGACGATGTTAATTATTTGATAAAAAGGGGTCTCTACCGTGGACTATAATCTTCTTTGTTTACTTTTTTCAACAGGTTTTTAATTTTTCGTAGACTATTGCAAATAGCAATATTTTAATTTTAAAAACCCTAAAGAAAACCTGACAATAGTCCCATTGCAATCGCGGCATCTAGAATGCTCTCGGAATAAATAACGATTTTTTGCAAAATCGGCAAGTCGGAATCATGCCAACGTTATTTTTTAAAATTATTTTATGTGTATTTTTCAATGTGTGTTTTTTTTTTTTTGTTTTTTTTTTTTATTACATAGAAGTATCAATGGGACGGTATTGATCGTTCGAGCGATATAGGGCTATAGATCTTCCAGATGTATTTCCTAATTCCCGGAAGAGCCGAGACTAACAGCTGAACTGTTAAGAGAATTTATTTGCGTTGTATTACACAGCACCAATAGATAGCTAGCGTGTCTACATCACTCCATTGCAAAATGTTAATGTGTATTTACTTTGTTTTTTGTTTAATTTGCTTATTTGTTTTTAATTCTAGTTATTTCTAATTCTAATGCATTTTCAATAAATATATTTTTTTGATACCATTCTTTTGTTTGTTGCAGGTTGAGTGGCCTTGAAAATGTCCTTTTCGGTTATACTTCTCGCATATATCCAATCATTGCTAAAGCTTTTCGTTCTGAATCTTCAGTTGTAGATGTGATTCTCTTCGGTAATATCTGAATTATCTCTTAATTAGAATATATAATTTCTATTTTTTAAATTTATTTTAACGATAATTGTTACTTTGCAAAATACAGTTTTTAAAATAGTTATTATACTACATCCGTACGATTCATTATAAAAGAAACCATACATAGAATAATGGTTATTTTTAGTGCCTTATCCATGGAAATTGTTAATCAGGAGTATTCATTTTTTTAAACCTTCCAAATGTTCTAATAGTCAAACTTAGTTCTTAGAGCCACACTGATTCCTTAAGTCCCAAGACCTAGCCAGCTTATCAAATCAACTTACTCCTGTTATTATAATGTTTAGTTTCATGTTCATAACAGCACCGCGCCTTGCCCAGCAACTTGATAACCAAATTATTGATAGTAAAATAATTACGAGTTCGCATCCCGGTGTCGGTGTGGTTTTTAACCCTTCTTTCCCCCCCCAAAAAAACAATTAATTGTTGCAAAGCTTTTATTTCTTGTTTTTCAATGATGGTGGGATCTATTATAATAAACATAATTGCACAAATACATTTTTTATTTATAAAAAAGATACAAAAAAAAATAGTAATTTTGCAAACATTTGTTCGGTAAATTAGGTTATGAATCTGTGTTTTTCACCCAGATATCTGTTATTGGAATTGATCTGTATTTATAAGTGGAAAATAAATATTTCTAGTTCTAAAATTAAAGTTTAGAATCAAGAAACCTGTTGATTGCTTCAATTGTTCTCAAGAAAACGTTAATATTAGTATTAGGAACATTTAGTTTGTCACTTATAAATACTATAAGTTTGTCGCTTATAAGATTATGAAAGAATTTTTTTTAAAACTCCTTATTTTTAACTTTTTTTTTTTTATTTTAATGAAAAGTGCATTTAGGCAATTATATTTGTTATAATACATCTCAGATCATGGAAAAACAAGAAATAAAAGCTTTGCAACAATTAATGGTAGTCATTTTTGCTGAAAACAGAGGTACTTTTACTTGACCGGATAAAAATCACATATTTTTCTCACAAAACCTATGGTGAATTTCAATTTTTTCTCCAATAAATATCTAATTAATTAATACAGACTTAACACTTAAAATCCTGTACCTGATAACAAGAGCAATAAGTGATCATAGTTTTAATTTATTGCAAAGAAAGAACGAAACATTTATTTAGAAACAGTGAAGAAATATACTACAGAGTTGCATGATACTAGCCTTTGATTTGATTTTAAAACAAATTATTAATTAGTGACATTAAAAATTTATTTTATTTTCACAAGGTAATGTTTCTTTTATTTTTCAGGTCATGTGCTTTTTGAAATGTGCGCTGGTTATGAACTTACCGTAGCTGTACCCACTCCGGCCAATCTACTCGATATTGTAAATTATCCTCAGGTATTTATAATTGATTTTTTCCTATGGAAATATATTTTTGTATCATTATTATTTTTACTTATTTTTTTATGTCTAAAGTACTCATGATTAATATATTGGGTATTTTGTTAAAGAGGAAACCCAAAATAAAGTTATGCATATAGATTTTTTTTGGTTTAACTTTTGATATCATTAATATTTGTTTTCTTGAAATATTGTGCGCTTTGCTACTGAAATTAGTTTAGGTATTCAAAATATGCATTAAACTTTCTGTTTTTTCTTTAGTAAGAGACAGTGTTGGGTATTATTCGAAATTTTATTTAGATAATGAGTATTAGATTCGTATATCTTTTATCTGTTATTTAAAATCAAATATGATTCGATTATTTTCTTTGTAATTTTAAGGATTTTTTTTAATGTAAAAGCCCACTATTATGTTGTCGGGAACACTTTTTACACAAATAATTTAAGGTTACTCAATTGGGCATCAAGTTTCTGATACTTTTTCAGATTTCTTTAATATCAAATTTCACTACTACATTTTCTAGGGTGCCCTTTGTGAAAGTTGAACAGTTGGTTTTAAGATAGTGTAATTGCCCTTCTAGCTTATGATACTTTTCAGATTTCTTCGATATATGGGTCCACTAATGTGTTTTCGAGGACGCTCTTTGTGAAAATACTGTTAGATTTAAGATTGTACAGTTTCGCATCAATTATTTGTAACTTTAAGGATTTCTTTGATGCATTGGTCCCCTTATATGTTTTCAGGAGCGCTCTTTATGAAAATACTGTCAGATTTAAGATTTTACAATTGTGCATTGAATATTTATAACTTTAAGGATTTTTTTTTATTAAATTGTGTACTATTATGTTGTTAGAGGCGCTTTGTATAAAAATACAGTCGGATAACTTTTTTGAATTTCCTTTCTTACAATCATTCTTTTTTTTAATGTTTGATAGATCAACAGAGTCTATTGCTCTCAATATATTTAACAATTGTAAGTACCAATTATACTTAGCGTTAATTAAAATGAGGATAATAGAAGTCAACAATTGATAAGTAGAATTTAACTTTTGCTTCTTCAAAATTATCCTACTTTATTTCATTTTATTTTTATTAATATCCACCTATGAGGAAAATTATGAAAAAATACAAACAAAATTATACCACTCGGCACCAGTTGAATGTTCTTCATTTTTTTTTTTTTTTTTTTTTTTTTTTTTTTTTTTTTTTTTTTTTTTTTGCAACAATGATGAGTTAACCCGTACCACATAAAATACAAGACAGTACACTCCAAAAAGTTTGATTCTAAAATCTATATTAAAGTAAATTTAACTCTTATCTGTCCTTAGATTTTTAGTCGTGTCAATAAAATTATATTATCTATTCACGAAAAGGTAGAAGAGATTATTGAATAAGAAGAAGACAAATACAATTATTTTTATTTCTATTATATTGTTAGTTTCAAGAATAAATTTGAGCACTGCTCGTTTATGCCAAATTAATGTAGAATTGCTCCTTTGTTACCGAGATAAAAGAGGAAAATCTAATGAAAATTTGTAAAAATGTTAACACTATTTTTCCTTTTGCAGGCTTGCTAAAAGAAATTTAATAGGTAGGCGCTAATTACATATGAAGATGTTTTGTGCTTAAAACATCAAAACAACCAACCAAAGAAATTTACTTCGAATTTATTTACTTCTACTAATATTCGAAATTTATTTGAAAAACTTGAATAACAAATAAAAAGATAATAGATAACTTGAATTAATTTATTTGTAGATAAAAGATAAACAGAAATATTCATCATTCATAGCTGAAAATACAAATAAATCATTCGTTATCTATTATCTATTATTTAAAATAAATTTTGTTTTACACTAGTAAGAGATGATTGTGATTTTTAGTTATGTTGTGGTTCCTTTATTTGGATTTAATGCTAAAAATAAAAAAATTGTTTTGATTGCTCATTAATTTTATACTATATTATTTATTTATCATAAAAAATCATTTATATACAATTATGGCTGGTTTTGAGTGTTGAATCATAAATAAAACTATGAACATTAAGAGGGAAACAATAGATCGGTTCAATGACCTCCAAACTTGATTAAGATTTTAAATTTTTTTGGCTTAATGACTTAATCTAAATACAGTATAAACTAGAATTGTTTTTATTTTATGTATTTTTTCACAACAGGTAGTTGAAGTTTTGGAATTTATATTCAACAACCCCAAACAAAGGGTTCCGTCCATAGAAGAGCTTCTCCTGTGTGAATTCTTCCGAAATATTGATTTAAGGGAAATGAGAGCTACTTCTTTGCCAGTGAGTTTAATTTTTTTTTTCAATAATATACGTATATTTTATATTTTTAAAAACTTAATGAAAGATATTTAAAACATCTGAATTTCGAGTTTAGAGTTATGTGAGCATACCCGGAAAAACAAATTTAAAATTACTGTTTTTTTTTTCTTTTTTATATTAGTTCATTGTTAAATTTTTATCTTTCTCAGAAGAATAGAATTTATAGCGAATGAATACAAGCCTTATTGGTTAGAGGGGTGGGAACCTGTACAGTATTAATGGTTTACCCCTAATATCATGTAAAAACATTAAAATAAATGTCAAACCAGGAAAAAAAATGTTTGAAAGTAATTTTTTTTCTCATTGTACATTGAGAAATCCTTGACATTATTAAATGCATTATGCTACACATTATAATTTTGAAATGCGTGATTACAATTTTTTGTGAATTTGATTTTGAATGTTTTAGAAGTAAACCATCGATATGATTTAACAAACTTAATTTGAAATAAAAATAATGAAAGAAAGTTAATAATAATCTGAGTTTCAGTTTTCTATTACTGAATACATATATAGAAATATATATTCCTTTAATGATAAATATTTTAATTGTGAATCTATTAATATCTTGTTTTAATTAATTTAATACTTATTTAATGAGTATCTTTTCATAATAGTAAATAAATGATATTTTATTAAAAATGTCTATGTCCAGCAGGTGTATCATGCCCACTTGACAGCTTCTACTCTTGCATTACTTACAGAAGTCAAGAGACAACAGAAAACTAGAAGGTATTCACAACAAATAAATTACTAATTTTGATATTCTTATTATATATTAATGATAAGAACCCTTCCATTTCATTTTGTTAGAGTAACACTGTATAGAGTTGAAGTAACATTTTAATGAATTTATTACAAGGGTCACATATTTTTTTTTTCCTGCAGTAAGATAAACTTCTGAAAACTAAAAAAGATTGGTTAGAGATTTTAGTTTAAAAATCTGATGTGCACAGCACAACTTTCACTTACCGCTCACCTATGATTAGAAATTATTTTCTGCGTTGGTCTGAAAATACTTATTTCTGCTTAGAAGAGGGTGGTAACTGAAAGTCGTGTGATTTTTTAACTTTATTGTTATATTGGGCTACGGGAACCTAAGCCTGACTTCTGGGAACCCAAGCACAAAAACCTGATCAACCTAAAGATTCACCTCTTTCATATTTTTTTTATAACTCCAAACTGATTCTTCCTATGCCTCCAATAAAAAAAAAAGTTAAAAAACATAATTAGTTTAACAACAGCCTATTGTTTTCATTTATGGGTTGATAAATAATATTTTGTTCTTTCTATTATTGTTAATCAAGTTCTCATTTCACTTATAGGGGTAGGAGATCACATTCTACATCAACTGACAATACCTCACCTGCTCCATCTCACAGGGAACACAGGTAAGATTAACATTAATGTTTTTTGTTTTTGTTTTTCTTGTGAACTTAGCTACTAATTCGTGTCCTATTTCTGCTTAACTAAAATGCACTCACAGCACTAATTTTTGACACTGCTTTCGAACTTGCAAATGTTAGGAAACAAACACACACAAAAAGTATAACACCGCGTTCAGCACTCTCTCAGAGAAAAAAGAAATATATATTTTCTTTACTGTTGAATAGACTAAAATGGGTTTTCGTTTTATCTGCTTCCAGATATAATGAAGCAGGCTGTTTGGATGATAGACTAAATGAGGGATTTGATTCTAGAGGAGCTTCTAAATTTGAGTGGGAAACAAGAGTTTGAGCAACTTTATTACACACAAATTTATTTTTTAATTATCATACTCGATTCTTTCTCCAAATTGCTTTAATCATATACGAACAGCAGTTAAAAATTGTACTCTACAACATTTTAAATACATTACATTTTTTAATTTATTTTTAAATTAAAAAAAAATAAACTTACAAATAAAATGTACTCTACGCTAGCTATAGGGTATAGGAGACATGATTATGTACAATAAAAGAATAAAGAGAATAAAAACTAAGAATAAATATTTTAGTCTTTGGTTGGAATCTATTTCCAACCCTTCATGTGTTCAAATGTCAAGTGACCTAATATAAAGAGAATTCGATGCTACAATGTTCAGCAAAATTAGCGCTTAAGTTTGTACTTAGTGGATATTCAATCAGCATAATCTGAGATGGAACTGATCAACAGTATATGTGGATTATTCATTCATTCATAGTTTAAAACCACTCTGAAAGTTTTTCTTTGTTTTATGTTTTCAAGATACTAACAAATAAAAAAACAAAATACTACTGACTTACATGTAAACATCGTTGTTTTGTCTTTAAAACGCTTTCAGTTAATCAAGCAGAAAAATATTTGTATATTATTATTTATCAATTTAATAATCTTAGCAATCAAGATTGTTAGGTTTGTTCTACAGATCAATTCTTCTGGGATATGTAATAGTAGTCCACCTATTTGAATTCTTGTTCACAACAAAGAATATCTATCCTCATATGAAATATGTGTTTATGATATGAAAAAAAGTAATCTTATAAAAAAAAATAATACTTACTCTTCCATATATACTTTATTATATAAGCAATAAGTTTTCTTATCATTCATCAACTGGTAATGACAAGTTTACGATATTGATAAAAATAATCATTGGGAAATCATTCAGTTTACGATCGCAATTTACGTATTGACCATCCTGTTTTTTTCTATTTTTTAAAGAAGTCCTCTTCAGATTTTATTTTTAATTAAATTAAATTTGATTAGGCAATGTTGATAATAAATTTTGTATGTTCTTTTAATTGGATTAGGAGATGGAAAATTGACATTCTAAAATATTACTGTTCAGAATTGAGCTATTTATAATTTCTGAATATTAAATGTATTTGGAAAATCTGAAATTTGAATACCTCATGTTTAATTATTAGAATCTTTCTTATTATTTTGATTCTTGGAATCCCGGCATTGAAGAATTGGAATATCAATGTCAGATCTGATTGTTAAATGTCAATTTCTGATTTTCAACTAGAATTTAAAAAAAAAAACTGCTCTTGAAACCCTAACCAAATTTATAATTTTTTTTTGTCCCTATAATAGTTTTTTGGTCTTATATTATTACCTCATTTCTACTTTTTTGCAAGAATAATTTAATTTTAAGCAGTGTAAGGTAACAATTATTTTTAAATTGTTTACAAAATACAGTAAAATAATAATCATTAAATGTTATACATCTACTTAAAAAAAAAATTATATTAAGATATGTATATATATATATATATATATATATATATATATATATATATATATATATATATATATATATATATATACATATCTTAATATAATTTTTTTTTTTAAGTAGATGTGTAACATTTAATGATTATTAAATTTATATATATGATTATTATATATATATATATATATACATATATATATATATATATATATATATATATATATATATATATATATATATATATAATATATATATATATATATATATATATGATTATAAGTGATATAATTTAACATAATGAAATAAGAACTTCTTTTTTCTAGACCAAATATCTAATTTCTTTAATTAAATTTCAAAACCTGATTTTCAAATTTTGATTTAAAATCAAAGTATCTGAATCCAAGATATCATGAAATACATTTTATGTTAGATAATGTAATAATATTCAATTTTCTGCTCTAGTTAAGAACCATTTATTCCTTTTATTATATTTAATAAAATTTTTCTAATATTCTTGGGAATTTTGTGGTTTTTTATTTACTTTTTAGAAAGCTAAATCAGTTATATTTTTTGAATATCTACTAATTAATAAAAGACTGGTTAGGCAATAATTTTGCTGACTGGTGTAGTACAATAGACTTACATAACATAATATAGAGCACTACCGTATTTTTAAAATGTACCTATACAAAATAAATAGCTCATGTATTCATTATAGTAATGATACATATCTTGTATAGATTATATTTTTATGATATTTAAGATATAAATGTTGCTATTAAAAAAAATTATGAATATTGCGCAAATATATACAAGTAATTATTATTTGTTAAATGTAAATTATTTATATATATATATATATATTAAATATTTATATCATAATAGCTTTTATTTGTATACCTGTATTGTAAAATTTACTGTTTTATAAATTTGTATATTTTAGCATTTAATGTGAAATGTATTTATAAATCTACAATTAAAGAATAGTTAAATATTTTAATATATATTTTTTATTAATTTGATAGGAAATCATCCCAACAAAGTAATTCAAATGTAGAAGCGCTGTTCTTTAGTAATTTATTTTTACCTTATTAGTGTTTATAGGAATAAAAGAAATAGGCGAAATAGGGTAGAAAGTAATAATCAAAATAGCAGACATTATCTAAAATCTGATAAATAAATTTTTAAAAAAATTCAGTTTTGTAGTATTAGGGTTAGTATGTAGGTAGCAGATGAGAGATTAGCTAAAAGATAAATACACACACAGTTAACTATTAGAAAGCTTTTTTCCTAGTGCTTCTTGGTTTAAATAGTTCATAGTTTTAGCTAAAATTAATAGTGCTACTGTTAGTAAAGGAACTGAATTGCTGATCACTGTAGATTTTAATGTTTTATCTTTCTTTGTTTCATTCTTGTGTTTTTTCATGATGAACCTGCATGTTAAAATCATCTAACTATGCTTGCATTTGTAATGAATTTCTTTTAAATATAAACAAGACGGAGATCTTGATAAAAAAAATTCTAGAAGGATCATTTTTTCGCATGGAAAATAAATGATTTTAGCATGGTATTAATTGAGTTAAAAATTATATAGATCAAACGTCAATAAAAAGTGTGAAATTAACATTACATAAAAAAGAGAAAGAGAAGAAAAATAACCACAACCCTTTAGCTATGCATGTTTAATGCTCTTTTTCTGCACCAGCCGCAGTACTGATGATGATGATGATGATTGGGGGATATGGTGTGCATGAAGGTAAAATATAATATGTATAATCATTATATCATGTATAAAGCAAAACTATCATATAAATTATTATATTTATATATTTTGTTATTAATATTTATTTCTTCCTTCATTATAGTACTTATAGCTGATGAAAACAGTTTTTAAAGTTTTTATTTTTATGAGGAATAATGTGAATTCTGAAGATACCACTGCTTATAAATAACTATTTCCTATTAAATTTATTGAAAAATCTGTTTTTTGAAATTGTATCAAACATTGTGGGTAATGAATCCAAGACCATTTATGGTAATTTATTTTCCACTATAAAATATAGAACTCAACATGCTAGAATCTACTTACAGATGATTGATAGACATAATAATAACCATTAATACTTCATTTATTCTTTGGCACCTAATCTGTTATGAATAATAAAATATCCACAATGTAGGCACTAGCAGGTCCAGGATTTAATTTTGGGGAGGCTTCAGCTCAAAAACTTTTTTTTATATATATTTGTTTTATAATATAATAACATTATTTCTTTTTACTTTGAAAGAAAAACAAAGAAACTAACCAAATATATGGAACGGTGTTTAGGTGATTCTTGATGTCCTATTAAATGTAATTATAAGAAAAATAATACTTTAGAGATAATTTTTTTTCATAAGATATTTTTATATTTTACCATTTTTGGGAGAATTTCAGCCCAAAAGTATGATAGTCTGAATAAAGTGTGATATAAAGCAAGAAACAGGCGACTAAGAGGAAAATATGGTAAACTAGTGGCACCAAAAGGATACCTGTTGTAAATGAACACCTGTAAAGAACATTTCGAAGGCTTCTCAATCAAGGGAAATCTGACAGAAGACATGGAGCACACTGAGGACCTTGATCCATTAGATGTTACTACTCTAGATGTGAAAATAGCTTCAGGATTAAAAGAAACCCACAGAGATGCAACCAAACTATTAAAACTAATCTAGAAAATATCAGAGGAAGAAAGGATACAAGAAACTCAGTCACTACAGAGGCAAAGATTTTTTTCCAGTTGCCACACCCATGCTATGAAAATATAATAGATTACCACTAAGTAGGATGTAGATGGAAGAGGAGGGGTCCATAAAAGGTGTTTAAAAAATGATTGTAAGAAAATTAGGATGTGCACGTCTTATTTGACACTTTTAAAGTAGCTTATGAATTTTGGGAGAGAAACTGTCTTTGTGAGATTGTGAATGGATCAATAATTACCAGGAAATAAATGAAATTGATGAAGATGTTCGCATATATCCTGAATACCAGGTTCTAGTACTAGGAGAAATAAATGGAGTTTAAACTTTGAAGCATTGAGATGAATTTTCACCAATATTTTTCATTTTTATCCCAGAAAATATGATGAGAATATCTCATAAAAATTTAAAGATGCACTTGAGGAGTAAATGAATCATAAAATCCTAGAATATGTTGCTATATGTTATTATTTCTGAATATAAATAAAAATTTAATTAATAGGAATATTCAGATTCTATATGTATCTGTAAAATATGTACTATGTACTTAGCCATAGCCTTACCAGGTTGTAGTCCAACTTTTCTTAATTTCTTAATCAATTTTAATTTACATATTTTATTCATTTAAGTAGGTATACATTTTTATTAATTATGATGTTCTCACATCATCAATATTTTTATTAGGGGGGTGAGGGGAGAGGCGTTTACCCCCAAAGTCTGTGCATATCTAATATGGTGCACTTTTTCCTCACTGTTTTCAAGGAAATCAACATGTTCGGTCCATACAGATAATATATAACTATAGCATTAGAAATTATTATTTTTATAAATAAAAGTGTTTAGTGTAATTTATAATAAACTTATATGTGAAGTGGATTTCTTGACTTGTCTAATTACAGAAAAGCATATTGTGACATTTAAAAACACTTAGAGCTTATTGAGCCTTCTTGATAGCTGCCGAACACAGAGAGAATAGATAGTGATGAGTTGCATTTAAAAGCTATTATTTTGTTTGATCAATATGAAGAATTAACCTATTGATAAGAGTTATCCACTTCAAATGAGCAACTCGGTCATCTAAACTCTTCAGTGAAGATGATGTTTTCCAACTGCTATTGTTCTTAATTGCATTATTTATTTAAATGAAATATTTATTTATATTTTGACATAATGATGTAGTTTTTTTTTTGTTTTTTTTTTTATAGATTTTGAAGATATTTTGTGATCGACACTAAAATATATGAACAACTTAACGATAACTTTTCCTTTGCTGTTTCTTCATTAAAATTGTGGAAAATGAATTATATAAGATATAAATATAAATAAATAAATACAATTTATACATAATAAATGTAAATATACAAAATTTAATGATTTTTGGTGAGTTTTTATTATCTTTTTCTTATAACAGAAAACATATTTACATATTATTTTTTTTTTTTAAGTTTTGCCAGAGAAATCATCTCATTTTCTATAAAACTACTATATTAAATTCTATAAAAATTTGGTGTATTTTTAATTACACAAGAAAATCAAAATCATGAAAAATTTGCAGAAAGGAATGACTAATTTATGATTAACTTTACAATAGTACATGGGTGATTCTCCCAAAAATAGATACTCTGCGTCAAATATCTCTGGTGTAGCTGAAAACATTTTTTCGGTAGGATCTTAATATATGACATATACTATAACTTTATTAAGTTTTCATTAAGAGATCGTTAAACATTATTTTAATTTATCATAAATCAAACATTCCTCATTGCTTTGACCTTTGCAATATAGAATTCTTTTTTAGAAACTAAGCTTTTTTCTTTAGATAATATCAACAATACTTATTTATTAGTTCAATTAATTTAATTTTTAATTAATAATATGAAAAAGAATACATCTAATAATAAAATTTGGTTGGTACACACATCAAGAATTGATTACAGTAACATAATCGCCAAATCAGAAATATTTTATTTAATAAAATTCAAACATTCAATGTATTTTGATAAAATCGCCTTCATACGTTATTAAAATTTGTCTACAGATTTTTATTTTTTTTGTTAATAATGATAATTAAGATAAAAAAACCATTTTCATAAGCAAGTTTGTACTGACACAGATAAACATTCTTATTAACTAATTAGCTGAGTATGTTTCATGTTGTTGCTTATCTGGGCCTGCATTGAACGTTTATGTTGCTTTTTTTAACCACATAAATTATTGCCAATCATTATTGACTAATATTAACTATACAGAAATTATTTGTTTCCGATTCAGTTCAGTAGACTGCCAATAATTTGTGGCTGATTGTATTGTAACATTTATTAAATTTTTAAAATTTCAAATTATCCTAAAACTGATAAAATTGACTGTACATTTATGATACGATTGATAACAGTTTGCTTTCATCATCAAGAAAAAAAAAAAACAATCATGATTTTAACTTTCAGAGCTGTATTAATCAACATATAAAAGTGAATGTTTTCTTATCTATAATAAAATTGAGTTATCTAATTTGGAACTCAGACACTTAATGACAGTATCAATTTATTCAGAAGTATTAATGGGTTTCCTGAAAAAATCAATTTCTCATTACAATAAAAGAGTGGATTGGCAAGAATTCAGAATGGCTTTGCTGCAAGTAATCAAAACCGATGTGACTCCATCTCATAATAAGACATTACAGTTCATAGGAGGAGTTATGCCTCCCCATGATAAAGACTGTATATACAGGAATATGGGAGTAGAGTCTGCAAATCTTTTAGAAGTTCTTCTAATAAGGATTGGAGATATGATTAGCAAATTGGAATAATGTACTGACAATATGTAGAAACTCAATGTAAACTGATGAGTATCAAACACATGTTAACAACATGTAGTGCATTTGTATTACACTGAGGGATTCTACTCCAAAGGAAATAACTGGAATCCAAATCCTCACTGAGAATGATTTCCCCATCATGGTGAATGAAAAGAAAGCCAATACCACAAAGCATTTCTTTATGGAACACAAGTAGTAGGTAGACTAGCTCTCTTTGTTCTAGGACATACTTGAAAAAATTATGATCTCCCTGATGGAAGAATTCTTGGAAGGGATGGTAAACAGATAAGATGTTGGTCTTATTGGACTAGAGGAAGAATTGAGATGAGAAGTCATTATGGGTTTAATAGCAGGGATGGCTTGTGCAAATTATTTGCATTACCTTTTTGATACTTCTGCCTATGGTGCCAACAGTAAGGATTGGAAATGGATAACATGGCTGAATCAGGATCTTATTATATTTTTGTATAGGGCTAACATATTTTTATGCTTCAGACCTTTGCAGTTTTGATACCTTAACAATTAAAAATTCTTTGATTGAGAGTAGTTTTAATTCTTCATACAATTCTGTTGTTTTCTATCTTGAAATAAAGTTATTTCTTAAAATGTTATTTAATAAATTATCGGTAGTCTACTGTACTATGAACAACCAATGTCTTCTACATTTTTTAATGTCCTGATTGAAAATTAACCAAATTGTTATGGTACTTAATTTGTTTAATTTAGGTTTCGTTTTATTAATACTATCATTGAATGATTTGTCTAAAACACCTTTTGTGTACAAATTTCAAACCATAAATTAATTTTTACTGATAATTTGCAGAAATTTATTGCATAATTTAAGTATAATTGCTGAAAGTTTTTTTTTTCAAAATATTCAATTTCCCTAATAGGCTCACTAATAACACCTTGTTCGGTTGTTTAATAATAGGTTATCCATATATTTTACTTATAAATATTAATGAATTTTTTTGAAATTGAAATTGCAGAAAATAATCATCAAGCCTGATTTCTCTACAATGTATTTGTTACCAGCTTTTATGTACATCATAGCCCAGAGATTACCACCCTGATTGACACCTGTTTTATTGTAGGTAGTGTTTTAACATACAGTACATAATGGCTTAAATTTAAAATTATATATAATCATTAAAATAAAGATTTTTTTTTCTAAACATAAGCTATTTTATTTTGGCATTTAAAATAAATAAAAAAAATGGTTCTTCATTTTAAAAAAATCATATATGGAATGCTGCTGTTGTCTGTGAAAGGTATTATCTCCATCTACTTTTTAAAAAATAGAGCTGCTCATGGTAATAAATAATAAATATTTACCAAATGATAGTCAATTTACTAAAGCAACGTATAAATAGTTTTATTATAGATAATTAATAATTTTTATAGTCCCTTTTCTTAACCAAAACTCCTTAAGAAACTTAAAATACGTCTCTGAAGTGTATCCATTGAATTAATAGTGAAAACCTTTATATTAATCCATACTTCAAATTAAATATTTTCAATTGTTTATTACTAGATACAGCCATTGAAAGTTTTCATTTTACTCTTGCTTCGTTGAATCAAATTTATTCAGTTTTAATTAACATCAAAACTTTCTTTTTCTTGTAACATGAGGCTGTTTTTTGTTTGGCATTTATTAAGAAAATATTGTAGATCTTAACTTTCAGTTATCCTAACTGTTTACGCAAAATAAGTTTAAGATTTACAACTGATGAATAACAAGTATTTCCTTTTAACAACTTATTCATTTCTTACACATATTGTAAACTCCAGGTTCTTGAATTTCCCTATTAAACTGTAAGAACTTCCATTATTTAAGTGTATTCCTCAGCAAAGAGAAAAGAGTTAACTGTTTTTCATAAATCTAGTGTTGATCATAAAATAATTTGTTCATGAGGGACATCAGTCCCAGAATAATAAAATTATTTTATTTTAAAATATGGTTACATCAACAATAATGGTAACTAATAATGTAAAAGTTGCCTACATCTTAGAAATAATATTATCTTATTAAATAATAAAGTACCCTAGTTGGGTAGTGTAATTTATCTATTTGAACATTCAAAATTTACTCATATTAATATTTATTAATTTTTTCTGCATGTTTTCAATATTAATCTTGTTTTATTATTATTTTTGTCACTTTGATTTACTCTCTCTGAAATAGACATTTTACTTTCCTACAAAATTGTATGAATCATTTTTGTTTAAGCACAACTAGATCTTAGAAATGTATTAAATCAAATTTACAAAAAAACTACATCCACATTTATTATCTTATTGCATAGATATTTAATCTTTGTTTTTTAATCAACATTTGTGCATAGTTATTTCTTAAAGCTTGTCATCCTTTTGTTTTTCTTGGGTGAAGAGATATCACCTAATTAATATTAATAATAATTTTTCTGAGTACATTATTATTTAACTAAGACTGAAATGTTATAGTGATTCTGAAGAAGCCAAAGAAAGTGGTGAAGAATCAGAAGAAGATGTTACAGGAGGATCTCATGAAGATTCAGATACAGATACTGGACAAGAATTCGTTGTGAGTAAGATAAAGTTTATCCTTTTTTAAAATATATTTTATTCACTTACAGTGACTATTAATATTAGGAATATAAAATTTATATTACAAAATGAGAGCAAAGTAATCCTAAATAGTGTTTGAGTGAAATCTTTCTTCAAAGGCTCGAGTGCCCTGGTTCAAATACTGATTAAATCTTGGAACAATTGCAGTTTTGTTAAAGCTTTTGTACATCAGATACCTTAAAATATACCTATGGGTACTTCAAATCAAGAACTGTGGGACATTTTAATAATTCTGTAAATGTTCTACTTTTGTTATCTGACTGTTTTAAAATTAAGTGTGGTATTTAAATTTTCAGTTATGGTAACCACTTCAATATAATACCTATATTCAGTATAATATAGTTATTGTAACATTTTGAAATTCTTGAAATCATTATTAATGATTGAATTAATGCCCCTTTTCTAAATAGTTTTTTGGAAAATTATTTTCAGGTCAATTAACAATTATATAGTCATTAATTGTTGGTATAATCTGGCTTTTATGATTTTGCCACTTTCACCATGATAAACCTCTATGAAATTCAAACCATTTATTTTATAACCCAAACTTTAAAAAAAAAAATTTTGTTTATGTTATCTTTCATGTTATTGCCTAAGTTAGCTATTTCATTTGTAATTTTATACCCAAATTTATTCCATCATTTAAGAACATCCTGCTTAAAGTTTCTGATATTTTATTAACATAGATATAGTTTTTTCTTCTCCGAATGGCAGTATAGCCTGGTGTGGACCTTGGCCTCTTCATTGAGCCTTCTCTAGGTGGCTCGGTCTTGTACAGCCGCTTTCCGATTTTGAACGCTTAAAAGGGTTCGAGTATCCTTCATAACTGGGTCTTCTCACCTCAGCCTTGGTCTTTCTTTTCCTCTCGACGGTCCAAATTCCCAAAAAGTAGTGCTTTGGAAATTTCTTCCTCATTCATTCTTGCTACGTGGCCTATCCGTGGTCGACCACACTTTATAAAACAAATGACATTTACTTCACCAAATAGTCCATATATTTCTCTGTTATAATGCCTCTTCTACTGGTTCCCTTCCTTAACGGGTCCAAAAATAAAATGAAAAATTTTAAAGATAAGGAAATCTTTCTCTTCTGAACTTGTCAAGAGTTCATGTATCTGAGGCATAGATTAATACCAGTCGTATAAGTATTTTATAAAGTTGGCAATTGGTCTGACAAGATTAGGCCTTACTGTTAAGGTGCTTTTTGAGGTCAAAATAGCAGCAATTGATCTTCTTTATTTGTTGGCTGGTCTCAAAAAGATATTTTATTATCTTAAGCAACTAACTATTGAGTCCAAATATGTAAATTGGTCCATATTTTCATATGTGAACAATCTGATTATGGCAGGGTCTTTGATGAAATTATCTATTCCTGGATCAGCTCTTATATATTTAGTGTTTACATTATGTTAAGAAAAGAATCTTTTAAGGTTTCCAAAGATGTAGCTACAATGTCTAAATCATCTTAGCCATGCACCTGCATCATCCTATTATAAATGGTAACTTCAGTTCCTATCTCACCTTCTCTAAGGCAAGATTAAAGAGTAAGCAAGCTAGGGTATTGCCCTGTCTTAATCCTCTCTTTGTGATGAATTCGGGAGATAAACCCGGACCGCATACCTAAAATCGTTTATTGTAATTTGAATCTGGTGGATGAGCTTGGATGGGATTCCGCGCAAGGCTTCATAATGCTGGGGGCCTCTTAATGGTGTCATATGCGCTTCAGAAATTTATAAAATGGTGGTGAGTGACCATTTTATACTCCATACCTTTTTCCAGAATCATACATTGTCCAAATTCCTGATCCAACGTAGACTTACCACTTCTAAACCCCGACTGATATCTGCCAGTTTCTCATTCAGAAAATGGGAGGAGTCTAAAAGACATTAGACATCACTTTATATGCGCATTGTAAGATTGTAATGCCACCATAATTGTCATATTTCAAGATGTCTCCCTTCTTGTGAATTGAGCATATAATACGCTTTCTCCAATCATCGGGTATTTCCTCTCCAATCCAGATCAACAAAATAATATTGTATATGGCTTTATGTAGTATTTCTCTTCCCTGTTTAAAAAAGTTCAGCTTGGATTCCATTCTTGTTTTTAATCTTATTTATTGCTTCAATGACTTCCTTAAATTCTGGAGGGTCAATATCTTCTTCTTCTCCACTAATGTCTGTGCCTGTTGCTGTTTCAATCTCAGCATCTTCATTTAGCAATGAGTCGAAGTGTTTGTGAATAACTCGCCCATCTTGTAAGTTCTTCAGCCCAATCTGCTATTAAGGAGCCATCCTCATTTCTACGAGCTGTTATGTGAGGTTTAAATGGAGCTTTGCTCTGTTTTGTTTTACCAAGCGGTAGAATATTCTGTCATTCAAACCTCTATATTCTTTTATTTTCTCAAGTATCTGCAATTCCCACTGCTTTTTCTTTCTTCTTTGAATTCTCTTCTCATCTCGTCGTTTGGCTCGCTCTATATTCCTCTGAGGATACATTTTACAAAGTTTAAATTTAAAGTTCTGTTCTTTAATATTTTCTTGATTGAATCGTTATTATTGTTAACTGGTTTCCAAGTTTATTGTATAAAAATTATCTAATAATATTTTGTAAATTTTTAGGTTTTACTGTTGTGATTTTTGTTTCTGTTATTTTAATTTCCCTTTTTATAATCATTTTAATGATATTTATTTTTATATTCCATAGATTATTTTAATATTAATTTAATAAACATTACTTGTTTCTTTTGTGTTCCATTTCTTACAATTTACTGGTAAATTGATGTTAACTGATTCATTTTATTTTTTATTTAACAGAGTTTATTATTTAAAAACATGGTAATATTTAATTATTTAATATAGTCTGTTTTCCTAATTATTATAATTAAAATTCAATATTCATTAAATAAGGAAAAAATTCTTCTTCAGAGTTCAGATGAGAATGATTTAATCATTGCAGCAATGCCCTCTTCTTTTTCCAGATATATAAAAACACTTGAACTGTGTGTTGTTTACCACCTCACTACACTGAGGTAATAAATTGAGATTCATGGGAATTTCATTCAGTTTAAAAAGTGATGAGTTCATTGGCACTTTGCTAATTCTAATTGGTCTTTTTTGCCAATAACATATTCTCAGTATAATTGGTTTTTTGTTTTATCTTAGGAACACCGTCACCTGAGCCTCCACCTCTATCAAAACCTGAGCCCAGTGAAACTAGAAGACGAAGATCTGCTCAGATAGCAAGTGCAGAACAACGGGGGATCACTCCTTCCGACTTTATTAACAAAAAACATTATACAACAGATAAAAAACCTGCTTGCTAAATGTATTAAAAAATTAATCGCATTTCTGATGAACTTGTCATCATGATATATGCCTAGTGTTGATAAAATTCCTTTAAAACCCGATGTCTAAATTAAATAATTTAATAATTTTAATCTTTACTATAAAACTGATTAATGACAATTTAACTCGAGGAGTTTTTATCTCTTATTCTTATTAGAACTCAAATAAATTTATATTATACTATGTCTTTCTAATTTTTTTCTTATAATAAACAATAAAACTGTATATATTATTATATGATGTACATAATGACACCTGGCTAAAGTTTAGCTCATAAGGATGATATATATATTTTTTTTTTATATCTTTTTATAGACATGTAAAGCTCCTTCAGTATGATTAAACAATAATTTATTAATATTAGTATTATTTATGTAAAATAAGATAGATTATAATGAAATAAAGTAGCTAAATTAATATTTTGATGCCTGCGGTATTGTTTAATTATAGTTGTTCATATGAATTCTGATGAATATGTCAATATTTTAGTACTTAGAAAATTATTATATTCTTTTATAAGAACCAAAGAAACGATCAATTGAATCCCTGAGTTCTTGTTCACATGATTCAAATGGACTTAATGGCATAAACATAGATATTTTTCAACTAACTATGCAGTTTCTAGAGGAAAATTTTTTTGAATTACAGTATCAAAACTATGTATTTATTAAATTATCTAAATATAAAATTAATTCAAAAATATCTTCTGAAATAATATACTTATGTAATATACGTAAATAATATACCTACTTTATATGTTCAAGTTTACCTTTGTCAATTTAAATCTGAGCAAATTAAAATTTGCTCAAATTTAATAGGTCCATGTATGGTGAGTTATGAGGTATGGAAAGTTAAGAATGAAAATAAAAGTAGTTAAATCATAACGTTGTGTTGTGCAAATTATCGACTATATCAATTATTTTTTAATAAATACTATTTTTTATTATGTGTTAAGAAACAATTAAAATTATATTATTATCCCTTAATTGAGGAAGTGCCATTATTGTTAATTTGAATCATTATTCAGGAAAAATAATTAAATTAGTATAAAGTTAAACAATTATGTTTGAGAAACATTGAACAATACAGAAGTGATATCAGGTGTCATTGTAGAGCTTATAAGAACTAGAATGTTGCCTGATTAGGTTCCAGAAAATTGCTATTATCCTTCAATATGTTTTTATTTAAATATGATTAAAATTCTATAGTCTTGACAAATATTTTTTTATACTTGTATATTTATTAATATGTTTAAAAGTATAATATTCAGTTAAAAGCAAATACTTCTTGGCTCATTAAATACTGTCAAACAAAATTTATTGAAATAGAAGGAAATGAAATATTTTCAGATTGAATCTAAATCTTATTATCAAATTTCTTATAACATCTATATTTACTAAAAGAAACAAAAATTGATAGTTTCTGTCTGCTTGCTGGCTTCTTCATTTTCTTTTTATATTTTATAAATCAACTGGAAAAAATTGAAGGTATGCTCGAAGACCATCAGTGTTTTATACAACTTTGTTGTCAACTCAGTGGTTCAGATTATTCATTTCCACATCAGTAAAATATGTCATGACCTAGGATAAAATGGAATCCGATTGGCGTCTGCCTTTAGACAATGCAACATGATTACTTATGTTTTAGTTTCAAGGAATATTTTTAAAGTCATAGTGATATTTTGGTTTAGACTGATATTTAAAATTTGATAATGAATTTAATTAAACTCAATGATAATGTACATTATCACTGACTTGTACCAGTACAATAAGACCCAATTATAATGTTTCCAGAGACTTATAATAGTGTCAATCTAAAACTGTTAGACCATTCAAAATGGCGTTTCAAAGTGATATCGTGGTGCCAGAGAGGTTCTCCAGTCTAGCTCATTTTAACATAGTCCCATTATAATTATGATTTCCAGAATCTAAGCACCATAGGACCCTCAATCTGTATTCTGATTTTTTAAGTTTTCATCTGGTTTTGTTCTGTTCTAAACCAGGATAGATTACCTAACTAGTTCCTCTAGCATCAGTAGTTACAATAATTTCAATTTACTCTTTCTTAAAGTCTCATATCTCATTCCTGTTATTTTATTTTATTTTATGATCTGATATATATATATATATATATATATATATATATATATATATATATATATATATATATATATATATATATATATATTCTTGTCTTATACAATTGGTCCAGTCCTGTGGTTGATTCCCATAAGATTTTTTCAGCATTATGTTATAATTAGATAATACATCTCATTTTACCATGTACATGATGGGCCGACAAAGGGCAAGAAATTTATTGGTACAAATAATAGTCACTAATAAATTGTTCTACTGCTCATCAATAACCCAAGCTGTTCTAGCCTATGCATTCAGTCTATACTATTGCTAGGAGAATAGTGGAGAATGATGCCAAACTTTTGATGTTATCATATGAGCTCTGATCATCAACCAAGGTTAATCATCAGTTCATTGGCTCTGATTTGCTTCCAGTGCACACTAAAATCTCAGACCGCAAAGCAGATTATAGTTGTGATTGACCAAGATTTGTTTAGTGAGTAACCGTCTACTACAAACCTGGTGGTGCCTTTAGAACCCTTAGTACAATTGGGACAATGAGCCAATAATTTTTCTTTGTTTCCTTGTAATATTCTGCCATTAGAAATATCAACTACTAATACTACTGATATTCTTTAAACGGTTATAGACAGAAATTTTGTGGAACCTAACACCTTGTAACTTAAAAGTTTTTCTCATAAAAATGTTTATTATTTTAAATAATGACCTTTTAGGTATCTATTTTTAATGATAGAAATATTAGGATCTTTAGTTTAAAAAATTAATTTTGATTTAGTTACATTTTATTTTTTTTTGAAAAGTTCATTCTATTTTTTTTTTTTTTTAGGTATTGGAAAATGGTTTCTTGTGGTATAACTATTATTAATTAAACAGTTAACTATGCAGTTATGAACAAATACAATGTAATCAGCATTAAGAACAATGAGAAAAACTATTAAGACCATGTGACTTTATGTTGATGTCAATTTATTAAACTTGATTTTTTTAATCTAATAAATTAGTAAAGCTTTTATATGGTAGATAGATTTTGTCACAGCCTAAAAAACAGGACACATACACAGTAATTACTAAACCAACATAATTCTACCTAATGTTTAGAATTATTCTTTTCTGATTCCTGTGCGAACACTCATTCTGCCTTCTGAAGCTTTAATAAAATAAAAATTAATAACATAATTATTATAATATATATTATTAATGTTTAAGCAATAATAAGTAGTAAAAATGAAATGCTCAGAATATTGGTATCATCTTGTGATTGGCAAAGGAGGAAGTGCAGAAAATGAAATATTAGGTTTAGACTGAGTGGTTATCTAGCATTGAGTTATCATCCATTTTGTTTCACATACTGAAATAGATTATAAATATGGATTACCGTGTCATCAGTAATCTCTATTATCTTACATACACCACAATTTAAAATGTTTTGTTCTTTAGAAATTCAAATAGTAATTTTTAATATTTAAAACATAATTTCAAAGTTTCCTGAAACAGTCAATACAATTTGTGATATAATTTTTTTTTTAAACATAAATCATGTTTTTGAATTAAATAAGACAATTTTATCTATTTAATATGTTAATTGAAAATCATTACACTAAAAATTATTAAAATCCCTGGCTTACAAATCTTGCTCTGAGCTCTTTCAGCATGTAAATCCAGGTTCAACATTTTCTCAGTCCACACAAAATCCGATAAGTAACTAAGATGGTAAAGTAAAATATGATACTCGGTTGCCATGAACTAATACTTACCACTCGGCTACATTGGCTTTCTTTTTTTTGTTACTTGACTAAACATAACAAGAGATTGGAGGATGAGCTGACAGGATTTATATTTATTTTAACAATGAAAAAATGTAAATGTAATTTGTATGGTATTAATGATGCATCAAAAGCTATTTTATCAGTTTTATATAACATCAAAGTTCATAAAAGTTAAAATCATCCGAGTCACATAAATAAACATTATGGCATAAAATTTTATTTTTCTTCAGTTTTAACATAACTTCAAATAGTATATATATATGTATATATATATATATATATATATATATATATATATATTATTTGTACAAAAAATTAATAAGAACAAGAAAACACTACCAGATTAAAAATCTAAACACTACCTTTTAAAGACTATCAGTTTTAATAATACTAGTCATTTAATATAATAACAATATTAAGGCTTTTAATATATAAATTTAATACATTATTTTTAAGGTTGATCAGGTAATATATATTAAATCTTATTTGATATTTCGTGAAATTTAATAACTAATAGCAATTTTTCAGCACTATATGAATAAAAATATTGAGAGAGATGATTGCATCATCAGAATAAATGTGGCAAGTCTACAATTAAAAAAAAAAGGTCTAGTTTTACATCCATAGCAATTGTCGAAAAAAACCATCTGGTACAATTATGAATACAAAGTATTAAAATTTATTAGGTAGATTTGACACTAATTACAGAAAATACGTAAGGTTAATGTCAATTTCATTAGTGTAGTTACAGGTAACCACTCAATCTTTTCCAAGCGTATGTGTAAAAAACAGCACGTGCAACAATGTTGGATTCAGGAAAACCACTTAAGCACAATGAACTGATAAAAGGATATAAAAATAGTGGAGGCTAAAAAAGTTTTTTATTTGTATGTATCTGAACTAGTAGTGTTAAGGATTGCACTAAATATAGTTTAAATAATACCATTTGTAAGGCTATAATAGATTTTTTTACTTGCCTATTAGACTATAAAACTCTTTTCTTTAGCTATTACCTAAGCTTTCCGTCCAGATTTATTTTTTGTAAATTTCATTTCATGTAATCGCCCAATGTGATGGACATTGGGCATATGAATCAATCACTTAAAAAAGAGGCACATAAAAAACAATAACAATAATAACTATATCATTTTCATTTACTGTGTTAAATTTTAAATGATATTGCTAGTTTATTAATATTTAACTTATAAATATATTGAAATTTCAATTAATTTTTTTTAAGGGATAGGGCACTAAAAATATATCATTTTAAAGCTTCCATTTATTTATTGATCCTGCAATAATTCTTTCTATAATGTTTACAAATTCTTTTATTTAAATGTAGAATTACTACATTAGACTGCTATTTTGAAATATAAAGTTTAGGTGCTAAAATATATGTAAATTGTATATCTTTAAAATTTCATGAGATATTACATAACTATGATTTTTTATGCTATAATGAAAAGATAAATGCCTTAATAAAGTGTTAATTACAAATATGTTTGTACAACTTTAAATAATATCCTTAGATGATTTTTATGTCTTCAGATCTGGAGGCAATTCCTCATCTGAATCGAATTCCGCATTCACATCTTTTACCCAATTTCCATCCTTGTCCTTAATCCATCCTGACCTAAGGGAAATAAAAATGCCCAATCAAATTGTAAAATATTTATTTGAATTCCAAAAAAATTACATTTAACCATATACTGCAATGATCCTATCAGATTATCAAAGGTTATAGAAACTTTTTTCAAATACTAAAGTTTTAATTTATCCTTTATTTAGATAAAAAATCAGGAATTTATACCATAGATTACTAAACACATTTGAATAAAGAAAAGAAACTATTTTGTTAAATAAACATTTTTTTTTACCTTTTTAATTTTAATAGAGAAAGTCCAATTGCAAGGTTTTGAACATTGAGAAATATATCTAACAAAATATTTTTTATTGATACAAGTTAGAAATTGACAGAGGGTAGATTATACCATACCCACAATACAGATTGGTTGTACAGGTTTGTAGAGACCTACCAACGTACATACACATGCCAGATTTTTATTACATGGCTATATTAACAAAAATTAATTTATAAGATTTCAAATAATTCAAGCAAGAAAAAATATAAATAGAATCAAAATGAAAATATGACTGTGATAACTTACAGATTTAATGATAACTCGGTATTTGATGGCAAAGATTTTGAACGCTTATTTACATTTTCTTTTAAAGGCTCTAGATTAACAGTGACTTCCTTAATTTCACTAACAGATGTGTTCTGTTCAGTTCTTGATAACTGTCCATAATTATCTCTTTTCTTTTCCACAATACTTTCCAGGGATCTTTTCCTGTGTAATGTCTTCAGATACCTACGTACTTGTGAAGCACTTGATTGTACAGGAGAAGATTCTAAAAAAAAATTATGAAATACATGTATATTAGTATTGTCTTTCTTCTCAGTAAAAAAAAAAAATAATAAACCGACAATGCATTTCCCCTACTCATGATCAAACAGAGAATTTACCTACTGTCTGTAAACCATAATTTGTTCACATCAAAAGTCAAACATAAACTGATGAAAAAGGTGGGGAGTAAAATTACAATCATTTTGTGATTTTGAACAATCCAGAAAACTGGTATGCTTGCTACATTTATCAGCTCGACGTAGGAAGTTTGCAGATAGTGTTAGGTGCAAAGCTTGTATTAAAGATTTCTCCATGATTTTGGGACAATTATCATGTTCTTCAGAGAATCTTGAAATTAACTAACTCTTAAGTCTTCAATTAGATTTTCAGGCCTTTTATCAATAACATTGGATAATCCTAAGTTTTACTGCACTCCTGAGTTTTATATTAACATATGCAAAAAATTAACCCTTGTAGTACAAAAAGTTTAATTTTAAATGAAAAAAAATTGAATTCAAAGAGAAAAATTAAGTTTTTAATAAAAATAAATTCTAAAAAGAAAAATAGGGAATACAAATTTACCTGGAGCTGTTAATAGGAGTCCAGGCTTTTTATGTTTGAATATAGGAAGGTCTAAAGTTTTACGACGACCGTATTCAATGTGATGATCCCTTCCGCCAAGTGTTCGAGAGCATATTATTGATTGAATTGACATTTCAGCTCCTAGAGCTTTTACAGTATCTAGCTGCTGTTTTTTCAATGCTTCATACTCTAATTCTTGTTTGTGTTTTATATACCTACTAAGTTCTGCAAATATAAAAATATTATTAATAATTTGTAACAACTATGAACATAAAAAAACTATAAGATAACAATGTTAAACATAAAATTATGATAATCATTTCAAAGTAAAATCACCAAACCTAAAAGATGTTTTTTTCCCTTTCTGTGTTTTCCTAACATAGCCACGGTATCAAATATAGGTCGATGGAGACAAATCAAACATGTGAATCTGAGAAATAAGGAATAACACAATATATTAATAATTCAAAATGGATCAATCTATTTCATATAAAAAAATAAAATAGTTAACCTCCCATTGCTTAAAAGCTTTGCCTCATCTTCTGGTATATAGTTGCCCAACAGCTCTGAGACTCGCTGGTGCTAAGAGAAGAAAACATATAAGTGGTCTTTATTAATCCAGCGCTAGAATTATTTAGCCTATGGACACTTGAAAATTAATAGAATAAAGTTAAATATATGTGTGTAAATTGTACTAACTTATAAACAAAATTAGCAACTGTAAAATATAAAAAATTATTGCGATCTCCATTATCAATGTCTAACCTTATTTGTAGCCTCTAAAGATAAAAATGTTCTCCACCCATGGAAATACTATATGCCACAATATTAAGCTAATTATAATATCTTTTTTTTTTCTCCCCTACCTCGTCTTAGCGGTTACAAAGTGTTTTTTCTGGACAAGGAGGGAAGAGAGAAAGAACAATGACTGAATTAAACGTCACCTACACAGGAATTCAAACTCATAATCTTATGGTTATAACATATTACATTGCCAGGAAACATCTTAATTATTTACACTATCATCAAATCAGAAAAGATGAAATAATCGCAATGATTGTTATTTATTTATTTATTGAAAAATCACTCACTAACAGGCCAATGCCTACGAAAGGTCGTTTTCATATATGATCTGGCTAGGAAAACAAAGAAACGATACTGTATCAAATTGAATATGTAATACAATTATAGTTATTTTTTTATATTTATTCTAGTAGATACCTAAATTCTTTTCATATTCTGAAATTCATCAATTGGCCTTAATGCCGCCGGCAAAAAAATTAATCAGAAATTATTTGAAAATATTTTTTGAGTGAAATTGCAAAAGTCAAAGCTATACTGGACTGCCATGTTTCACTAATTAGCCACACCTGATTTAAAAAATGTAGATTGTCAGACCTGGGCAGGTCTCTCAAATACCCTCCGATCTGTTTGTTACTGGCAAGAATGGCCAATTCTTCACTCATTTACAGCAAATTACACACTAACAATATTAAAAAATGAAAAAACAAATCGTTTTCTTCAAACTGTAAGTAAACATTCCCAAGAAAAGTAAACAAATTAAATTATTATTTATTTATATTTTTTGGAATTTGCACCTGCGCATCTAGTAAATTTGTCGTGTTTGTACTGTCTTGGTGTATTTGCTTGATTTGGTGTTTATTGATCTAGTAGGTCCCTTGGCCATTTTCTTCTTAATCTGCACTGTTCAGGTAACAGGGAGCAGGGGATAGAAAGAACCAGAGGATTGAATGTAACAAAACTAAACAATAAAATTATTTACAATATGTATATTTAAATTACTATAACCTGACGTTAACAGAGCCCATACTCGAAGAGAAAAAATTATAAAAATTACAGTAACAAAACAAAACCAATGAAAAAATAATCCAACAGAATAACTCAACAGCTTTTATTGTTATTTGGTTTAATATTCATAAGTTTTTTTTTAAGCAGCAAGGATTCCATTCAGTTAGCAATATGTGACTTTTAAAATCAAATTTGAAAAAAAATCAAGCACCTTTATAAATTGAAACCTGTACCTTGAACTTACAGGAAAATATAGCATTTGCAATATACTGGAAACATTATTAACATAGGATTATTTTTTTAAAAATCAGACTTGATATCACTTATTAGAAAATCTAGAAGTAATAACATCAATTAAGCTATGCATATAATTATATTATCAGCGATGAGTATTTCAATGATCTTTAGGTTACAAAATACTTAAACCTCTGCCTAATCAGAATAAACTAATTAAATTTTATTTTAAATGGTTAATAATATAAAACAATATGTAACTATTAGCATATAATTTTTGTTTACACTATATTTTACTATTTCCATTGATAGGAAAAGCTAAAATACCTCTATTTAATGAAATCAAATTGAATTCAAAGCTAGGCAAGTATATTAATCAAGGAATAAACATAACAGATAATCAGTGTGTTAAGCAATGTAAAAAGAATCTGCCATTTGAATGGAAAAAAATCTATTAAAATAGTTATTTGATGTAAAAACATAAATATATAACAAAGAAAGAAACAATAAAGATTAAGATAAAGAAACAAAGATAACAGTATATAGCAAAAGTTAAAAATAAATAGCAAGAAACACTTGTAATTTGTTTATGATAGCAAACTAAACTAAATGCCGACTTATTTTTAATTCAATTTAAATTTTTTTAAACTTAAAAATATTACTGAATAAAATGTTGATTTCTTAAAATAAAAAGTATTCAAAACACAAACAGAACTTCTTAGTTGACATGAAAAGGGCAAAAAAACTAGGTCAATGAGCCATTTATTAAGTCTTGCCCAAGTCTTCTGAGCAAAATAAAGAAGCTAGAGTTTTAAACCATAGTATATATATATAATGAACCGTTTCAGTAAAATGTAACTGAAATGTAAAATTATTATCTTTGATTACAGCATGTCATGATGTGTTGGTATAATAGGTTGCACAATTACATAATGTTAAATAATCAATAATGTATACACCATATAATATACAAAATGATTATAAACCTATATAGATACCTTTAGCTTGTTGAGGAGACTTAAATCGTCTCCATCTCGTTTAAAAGACATGGTAATGCAACTTTTAAAAATATAAAAACAACATAAGCAAACCCGCGTTTGAGAATCAACTAAGGAAGGTTGCAATTGTGTTTCAGCAGATTGTCCAACATAATAGAAGAATGAAGACAAATGCAAATTATTAAAGTTGTTAAACTTGTGTTTCCATTAAGTCGTTATTTATTTATTATTTATTGTGTTATAATGTAACATTGAAATACGAAACGTGAAAGGAACGTACTGAGAAAAAATGTGTTGGCAGAATTGTAGTCCCTCACCTCGGCGCGGTTATGAATCCAGTTGAAGCTCAGCCGGTGCTTTAACTCGAGGTGTTCTCTGTTAATAAAAGTATTGTTATCATAAATAGTTGTAATATTCGCTGAAGAGAAAAGTATATTTGTTTCAAATTTCCTTCCAGCCATCTAAAGGTTTGTTTTATTTTATTATTCTTCATTTTTCAATGAGTTTCAACTGTTAGACAAGTCTATAAACTTATCACTCATTTATATGATTTAAATTGACGTATACTAAATTAACTTAATTTTTCATGTAGTATTGAAAGAATTGTCCAGAAATAGAGTACATAACCAAATATTTAAATTTAATTGTTTAATATTTAAATTAAATACACATATCAGCATAATCTATACACGAACTTTCAATTAAGAATTGAAACATTCAAATATTTTATATAGTGACTTTGGAACAGAAATAGTTTTGAATCAATACTACGAAATTTTTATTTTAGTTTTTCTGTAATAATTTTTCCTGTGGATTCCTCTTCCGGAAAATTCCTTATTAGTATATATGTGAATGCTACACTATACTGTTATACATACTGTAACAATTAATTGTTGGAATATTATTTAACTATTTGTTTACAGTTTACTAATTTTAATTTCTGATCAAAAATTACAATTTGCAGAACTATTACCATCGAAGCATTTAAATTTAACCATATATATCTGTATATTTTCAAGAAATTTTAATTTTAAAAACTCTTGCCACTTGTCTAATCAAATTTTTTTGTATAGAAAAAAGTTTTAAAAGGACATTCATAGGTATTTTACCCCATTATAGTTAAAACCTCTATCAGTGTTATACTTTTTATTTATATAATTATTATAACTTTTTATTGAATACCTATTTAAACTTTTACTTAAAGGTTTCTTCTTAAATATTCAGCATTTAAATTCGTAATCATTACAAATTAAAAAAAAAAAGTTTCAATCTTTTTATTTAGCCATTAAAAAGAACCCACAGTAAAAATTTAAATTTAGTTGTTTTTATCGTGTTATGAGTGTATATTTATAGAAATGGTACTTTTAATTGTTTAATTTGTATTGGAATTCTTGTTTAAATATTGTAGCAAGGTTTTACGTACCCTTTTTATTTTATCCTGAAAATAGTTACTTGAAATAATAATAAAGTAAGTCTTGTACTTTATTACAAGATTTCAACGTGTGTACATTTGAAATAATATTTATATTCAATTCTTAAATTTTTTCGTTCTTTTTAATATATTTTTCGGTAACTTAGTTAAAATATTTATATTATTTTTTTTTTTATCTGATAGTTCCAGATATGTGCTCCGATCAGTTTTTCATTTATATTATGTAAAAATATAATAAATAAATGGCTATTCTTCCATTATATAAATTATTCGACAGAAAAAATTAAAATACGTCGGTTATCAGATACATAATTGTATTATGTACAATCTCAATAAATTATTAGATGTTCTTTGTTCAAATAAATTATAAATCATATCATGAATCCATTTAATCTCTAAATGTTTACAATGATCTTGTATCTTTATAATATTATTAGGAATAATATCTAGGTTAACAAGCGAGCCATTCATTTATTGCCTAAAAAAATATTAAAATTACTCGATTTGCTGATTGTAAGTTTTTATAAGGTTTACATATTCATATTCTTCTACATTTTCATATTTTTATATTCATATTCTTTTCAATAAGATTTTTGGATTAACAATGTTCCAAAACACCAATTTTTGTGGGATAATATTTGGCCGAAATTTTAAAATTCACCGGTTTTAATTTCTATAAATTAGAAAAATTGGGTTTAAAAAAAATGTTTTTCTTTATCCCTTGTTAGTAGGGACTTTTCGGTCCTCTTATTTACTGTAACACTTTTGAAAAAAACTTAAGGGATATGTAACCGTTAGACTTTGTTGAAGTAACGAAAATATTTAAACAAATTTTCGTTTTGAACTCACCTTAGAATTAAGATTCGAGATGTACGTAGTGTCGAAACACTGACGGTTCAACAGGTGAGCAACAGGTGTTCCAAAAGAGAGATGTCCAATCAAGGGCATAGGGGTATTCTGGTCTACTTTTGATTTCTTTTTATATTTTGGAATTTTAAAAACATAGCGCTTCCGGAATAAATAAATTTCTGAATAAATAAACGGAAAGTTGACTGTACACGCACGAACAATACGCAATGGTACTATGTTCGAATACTTTATCCTCTACTTTCCATTGTTGTGGACATTATATATTTATTTATTGTTACATTCCACATCATTAGAGGTAGTGGACATTTTTTGATTTATTAGTTTTTTATTAAAGAACCCGGTGCAGACTAACTACACAACTTTCACTTACCATCACAATTAAATAATTTAATTTCCGATCAAATTAAATATTTATTTAACAAATATTTTATTAATTTAAACCTACATTTTGAACTAAGCGAATAGGCCAAGAAGCGATATAAACACATACATATATAATTTATATATAATATTACATATATAATATTTCTCAATAAATAAATTTTTTTTTTAGTTTAAACATATGATCGGACCGAATTCATCAAACTAAGGAATATTTATTAATGGTTATTACCATATATTTTCCAGCCTGTAAACACTGCTTGAAATATTGTTAATTCCATGCACTTTTTCACGTATTCTCTCAGAAAAATACAATGAAATAGTATTAAAATAAATTACGAATGAAAATTCATTTCCTTGTACATTTTTGGTTTATCAAGATTAAAAATTATTTTAATAGTTAAAATAAATAAATAAATGAAAGTTTCCATTTAGTTTGTGAATTTTTATTAATTTCTAAGAATACATTTAGTTACGTTTAAATAACATTGATTTTCCTAAATAACTATTCATTAGTTTTTTGCCACTCGCCATAATTTTTCGACTTTTTATGATAGATATTAGATAATTTTTCTTATTTCCGGAAATTCCTTTTCAAGTTGGAAAAATGTTTCACCATTTTTCAATTATCAAATTATTTTGTAGATAATATTTAATCACTTCTAATTACTACTTTCAGTAAAAGAATGCCAGTTATTTAAATAAACTACATTAAAAATATTTTGGGGAAAATTCGGCATTTTAGCCCTGTCAAACAATTTTAAAGATGATAATACCTATTTGACATTAAAAAATCTTCTAATTACTTTTAACTTACAGGCTATATTCTCCTTTGTTTTCTACTTTTATTCATACTTATTTTCTATTTTTGTTTTTATCTTTTATATATATATATATATATATATATATATATATAATATTTGATATTTTACTTACATTATCACCCACTATATCTCTGATGCATCTTATTATTTCTTTATCAGACAACTGTTTCTTATTTAATATCTACTTATAATTCGTTTATTTTATTTTCACCATGTAACTTTTATATTTTGTATCTTTTGTAGCCCTGATGAAGACCTGCAAGTTGGGTCGAAACGTCGGCGTAATAATTAAAAATACTATTTAGTACTTATTTGACCGCACCCCCCGACCAACGCCTTCTCTTTTAATTTTACATTGACATAACTCGCTTAATCAATTTCGTTAGAACAGTTTTCGAAATTTATAAAGTGTAAAATTGATTATATAATTCAAACTTCCAGTAAGACGATTTCAAAGAAAAAAATGCTAAAACATCCCAAATATATGCCTACCATAAATACGTAATTTCAGTTTCGTCCAACTTAACATTCCTGAGCTCGACACACAGACACACTCAGGGAACCTTTAACAAAAAATCCGTTAAAACCTCAGATTCGAAATTTTATACGATTACAATACTTTTCCTCACTATTTTATATATATTGGAAATTAAAAGTTTTAACAATCCCAATATAACTCATAGCTATTGATTTTAAAATGGTAATTATTAAATAACGTTAGAGATTCTATTAAAACTTTCGTGAAAAATAAGAATATATAAATTAATCATTTAAAAAACAAAGATTTCGTATTGTTTTTAGAAAATTAATTATATCTCAGCCAATTTAGTTTGTCGTATGTCAAATATGGTTGTCGTAGATGCTAAAAGACTCAATTTTTACTTCAATCTCTTTATCGTTTATATAAATAACTGATATTCATTGCAATAATAAAATAAGGGTCATTTATAATACCAGAAAAATGGACAAACATAAATTACTTTTATGAATCTGTGGTAATACAGCAATATAAGGAGAACAATTTATAATAGTTCGTCCAAGAACCTCAATTATCTCACCTAATTCAAGATAGCTGCTTAAATACGAACATCAATCCATTTGAAAAAATGTATTTCATTAATTTCTCAATATTTTATTATTTATTATAACAACGAATAGTGTTTTAAATGCAAAACAGTACAAAATAGATATCGACCTAAATCCACAATTTCACAAAATATTCAATAAGGATTTATGTATTTCTTTATAAATATTTTCTGATTTGTTTTTAATGTTACGTTAGTTTTCATTTTTTTTTTTTTTTTAGATTTTTGGCAATGAAAAGGCTTTTGTGAACTGCGCAAAACAAAAGTATGAACTGCAAAGTTCTATCACCATAATCGTATTTTCCGTTTATTTATGTTCGGAAAACAGATTAAAGCATTTTAATTTTTTTTATTAAAACATAGTTGAAGGAATTGCTCTTGATTCGTTTTTGAAAATTTTATGTATCTTATTTCCATTTAAAACCAATTTTTCGAAATGACAAGGTTAAGAAAAAATAA